AAAAAAAAAGATTGTTAGTAAACAGCTAACGAAAATACGGCCACTCTTGACAAAAAACAAAATGATGATGAAAGGTACTAATCAGCTTTTGGCTGAAACTAAAATCGAGATACCCTCATGGGGTGCGTTATGTAACTACTTACATGAAAAACTCTGTACAATGATTGGATAAAATTGTACAAAGAAGGCCCTGGTAGGTGCATTACAAAACATATTACATAAACAAAAACATGAGATAGGGGGTCACAATAAAATACCTAAACATACTTACATAAAATCCGTGATAAAATCGCATATTAAAAAATTGAGGTGCAATATGAAAACCATTTACCCTTCTGTATTCAATAATCCAGACGTGAAAAAAAGAACTAGATAGATTACATGATCAGTACGTACTGGTCCCTGCTGACTAAGCAGGTTACAACATTGTCTATATTTGAAAGGCTCATTATATAAATTGTATTTAGGAAGAACTTGGATTTAGATCTACAAGTGGTAATCCAACTTATACTCATAGTTCCCTTTTAAGGAGGAAATTCTTCATAATCTTATGTCAATTCTGAATATTTTTAATATCCAAAAGAACCAAAATGATTTTTGGTCCATGTACATATATATTGAATTCCGGAACTTCAAAAGAATTCTTGCAAAAAAAAGATACATGGCAGGGTTCCAGTCAATGTTCAACCAATGCCTTTTTATTTACTCCTCACTAACACATTTTCAGTAATGAAGGAGGAAAACTTCAAGAGTACTGCGCAACAATATATTCAAAAAGTGGTGTAAATCAGTTATGGGTACTTAAAAATTCCAAGGAACTTGTGGACAGTTTGAAGTAATTTAATTTCAATTGTATTCTCGTCTCTCATTGGTTGAATTCCAAAGAGGAACGCAAATTATTTTGTATAATTCGGTTTGGTATGGGGACACACGCCCTTGACGACCAGCTTAATCATCTTATCCATGCAATCCCCTCATTTCCATCTTATCCATGCAATCCCCTCATTTTCAGTCCTCGGAATCCATGGAAAATTCCAGATTTGATAAATGTACCTTTAACTTCAAACAATTACTCGATCTTAAATCGTGTTAACAAACATCATGGCTGCTAGATCTGTAAAGCCTTTAAGTGAATTAGTAGGGTGTTTTTCATTATTTATTGTAGTAGTACATAAGTCGTAGTAAGAAACTGAAAAATAAACAACACAGTCATAAGTACAATGTTACCAAAAAAAAAAAAACAGCACAATAAATGCAACTCGGGCAGACTAGTATATATTACTATGTGTTTCATTCTCTAAATGACTCAATAAAATATCTCTCTTAATACAAACTTGATTCTTATGACATTTTGTAAATAAACAATTTGAAAAACTTAATATGTAATGAAATTTACTGTTTTGACTAGATAATTCGAGTTGACAATATTTATAATCATTCGTACATGAATTATTCGACTGAATACGTGACATACAAAGACCATGTGCGCCCTAACCTTGACACATTAGCTACCGTAACTAAATTAAGACAAAAGTACCGAAACATTTTTTTCATAAAAATCTACACATACTACAAATGTATACATGTTCATCTTGCACAAGGTTTATAATTAATAATTAAGGCATGTAATAAACAAGAAAAACTTACTCTATGCGGGACTAAAACAGCCAAACATGACATAAGGGTTGCTGATTTGATGCGGGCACCATGTCGTATACAATACACAAACGGAAATAATGTGTAAAAACAAACAGATAACGGTTTCAATCCGGAAAGATAACTAAGGGGAACAACTCAATTTCATGTAACACTTCAAGATCTATGTATCAGTTATTACCTCCCCTAGCTTCCAATCACTTCCGTCACTACGGTTGTATTATTGTGCGGTTAATTTGAACGCATAAAAAGCAACACAATTTTTTACATCCAGAGTTGTTTCATTATTTTAAATTAAATTATAAGGAATGACTCTGATTCTTGGCCAAATTATCGAGCATAATCTGGTTTGGGTCAGTTCCCGCTATTTTATAATCCGCGAAGCGAAATATCACATTTAACTCCACATTTGAATATATCGACGACGTATTGTCAGTTAACGCGATTGTAATTTCCATTCCTACGTCGATACAATAAATACTGGTGAGCTTGAGAAAAAAAGATACCATAGAGTCTGACACATCTGTTTCATATTTTGATATTTTACTTGAAAAAGACACTAATGGTTATATAACAACCAAGCTTTATGATAAACGTGGTGACTTTAACTTTTCTCTTACTTATGGAGAAATATACCTTCATCACCTTATACGGAGTTTATATATCTCAGCTGATTCGATATACAAGAGCATGCTCTCAGTATGAACAATTTCCAAAACGAGGAAAATTATTGACAAACAAGTTGATGAAACAAGAATATCAGCAGTCTCTTTTAAAATCATTATTTTGTAAGTTGGCCGATACTATGGCCTTATCTATCAACAAATACATTTTATCATTGAGTCAAATGCTGACTGGCGTTTTTCACACTAATTGTAAGTCCATTATTTATAATTGAATTGACGACTGATTTTTCCCTTATTTCCTGATCATGACGAAAAGCACACGGCGGGTGTGGCCGGTCGGCAGAAGATGTTCAGTCTTGTATGGCACATGATCCCACCTCTAATGTTTTGGAGGTCCGTTTTTGCTCTGCTCCTATTTTGTATTTTATGGACTTTTGATCTTGAGTATTGTTCTTTATCTGCATATGTTTCACATATCAAATACAACATTCAACTATGTATAACTTTACTTAAAACGATTTATTACCAATTAATTTATCTTATCAATGACATGCATGGTCAAAGAACATGTAACATTTAAATACTTACAAATTCATGATACAAACAGTCTATTTTTATGTACCTTCCAGTTTCTATCTTTAAAGTATGAGTTTAAAACATGTAGTTGCTTTTCTGTATTGTACATGAAAAGGCTTCTTCAAAAAATTTTGCAAACAAATATGATCAACTAAGTATACAAAATGCATTTTGGTGATTTACATATATGAAATATAACTTTCTGCATAAAAACATCACACGTTGATATATCTAATATAAAACGTTTTGACTACTATGAAAGCAATTCAGCCCAATCTAGAGTGAACATTTTATTTTCATTTTTATACTCAAAAAATCGGATGATAGGGATTTTCATTCTCTACCATATTTCAATAACATACACTCAAATACAACTATTACTTTTTAAGGCACCTCAGTAAAGTCAGGTGACCCATTGCTATCTCTATTCCTCCATTGAAGTTCGTACATTTTAAACTTCTTCTCTGCAACCGCTTAAAGCTTAACCATTTACAACCAATTTTTGCGTCTATGAGTTAAGGGGGAAATTGTGAATTTTATGGACCCTGTCCCCCTGTATCATGATGGGGGTTGGGGCCAAAACCACTAAAAGTACTGTTATCTTTAAAAATCTTCTTCTTTTCTGCTGGACATCAAGCATTTAAACTGCTGACCTGATTGTAATCAATATTGAGTCCTCTACAAAAAGTGTGAAATTTATGGCCCCAGGGTCAGGAGTTTTAGTGTTTGGGTGGGGCTAAATGGATTAGATAGTAATAATGCACTATTTCCCAAAACATAATACATATCAAAATATTTATGCAATGCTTGAATGAATACGGCAAGCTAAACTGATATCACTACAAAAGTATTTTACAAAAATTCAACAGGAGATGGCTATGTAGTTCACCTCGGTGGGAATGACAATTATGGGATCAACTGGAACCCTAGTCACATTTCTTCAATTACTGGAAAAGCCATCGTAAAAATGGAACATTTCTTTACAGTGTGCAAGAATTCTAAGGCTACCATCAACAATAAAAAAGACAGGAAATTCAGGTTTTAAACACATTGACAAATTTTTTTTTATTATTTTATGTGTTAAAAATAATTTGCATGTACCAATCAAATTAATTTTGTTTTTCAAAGCAATAAATAATACATCTGCAGAGCAAATTTACTTCTGAAATCATTTTGTGTAAATGCTAAAAATCTGTTTATGTTACATTACATGTAATATTGATTTGGAAATATTTCTGATATATCTAGTAAATTTCTCCAGATGTGGGATTTAAAGAAACTTCAATTTTCTGCTTCGGTGTTATGCAATTACGAATAATAACTGAATATTTATTTTGTAGTCCACGCCAAATACAAGAAATAAAAACTGCAGCCTTTATTAACATCGGCAAAGAAGGATACAATTTGCTTACCCAAAATTGCGAACATTTTGCATCGTATTGTAGATACGGTGTGAATTGTTCTGACCAGGTATTTGCATACATTTATACATGTTTTTTAAAGAGATGAAAGATATTTTAATTACTTTTGTATTTGTAATTTATATAAGTTTTTATCAGTTTGAAACAAAACCAATGTCATCATAGAGATTATTTTAATCATTTTAACAACGTGTACAGTTGATATTTAATATATTTCTATATTAATAAAATCCCTATGTAGTACAGGTCATACATACAGTATACAAAGATAGTAACAGATCTTATTATAAAATAAAATGTAAAATGATCATTAAGAGGACATAAAATTAAAAAATGATATCTTCAAAAACAGTATAAGATTTAATGCAATATCTTTTATCTCTGGTATTATTGCATTACAATATCCGCAAAGCTTTATCTGTTATTTTGTTTTTAACCGAAACACATGAAATTTATATGTGCCGTCAACGGATATAATTATTCGCCACTTGAAAATGGCCGACAATATTTTCCACATCGCGCACCTTGATATTTAGGGGCTGTTTAAAAAAAAATGCCCATCTTACGGCAATACTTTGTTAAATTGCCTTTCATCTTCAATTCTTCATTAATTCTACCGGGAATTGTCTTATACGGGTCTCAATGTCGGAGGTTTGTACATTTTCCCAGGCAGTCTGGATTTCCGCCATTACCTGATCTTTTGTTGTTACAAATTCGGCACGGGTTTTCAATGTTCTTTTAATTTAATTTATGTTAATTTTAATCAAATCTTCTCGATAATATTTACTCCATGAACGGAAGCATTGTCGTCCATAAATACATACTTGTTATCTGAAAAATGTCTGGCTAAAACGGGCCAGTGTCTTTTGTCTAATATTTCAATATATTTTTTTTACTTTCTTACTTTTCGTCTTTTCGAGATATAAACTTTCTTATTTTTTCCAATCACTATCTGGCTTTCGCCACTGAACACCAATCTATTCCACTCACGATCAATAGTCCAATTTCTTCTCTCCTTGCACCACTTACAGGGAGCTTTTTTGTTGGCCTCACGAATAACGACTTTTTTCTTGGCAACTCTTCGTTTATATCCCAGCTCTTGGAATTTTTATTTTTATAGTTCTATATGGAGATAACGAACAGTATTCAATCTCAACGTCCATTAAACAATATACAAAATTAGAGCAGAGCAAACAGGGACCTCTGAAACATCAGAGGTGGGATCAGGTGCCTTGGAGGAGTGAGCATCCCCTGCCGACCGGTCACACCCGCCGTGTGCTCGTTGTCATGATCAGGAAATAACGGAAAAAATCCGTCGTCAATTCAGTGTATAAATAATGGACTAACAATTGGTATGAAAAACGTCAGTCAGCATTTGACTCAATGATAAATTGTATTCGCTGACAAGCTCATTGTATAGATCATTGAAATTACGAAATGATGACTTTAAACGATACTGCTGATATTTTTGTTTCATCAACTTGCTTGTCAATAATTTACCTCGTTTAAGAAATTGTTCATACGTAGAGCATGCTCTTGCGTAGCGAATCAACTAAGATATATATACTCCGTATGCAGGTGATGAAGGTATATTGCTGCATAAGTAAGGGAAGTTGACGATAGAAAAGTTAAAGTCATCACGTTTATCATATAGCTTGGTTGTTAGATTACCATTAGTGTCTTTTTCAAGTAAAATATCCAGGTATGAAGCAGAAGTGTCGGACTCTGTGGTATTTTTTATCTCAAGCTAACCAGCATATATCGTATCGACGTAGGAATGGAAATTATCATTATTAATTGACAATACGTCGTCGATATATCTAAATGTCGAGTTGAAGGCCACAGCAAGTGTTTTCTTCTTTTCATGCATAAGATTTTGCAAAAATTCTGCTTCATATGAATATTACAAAATCTATTATTGTTTTCCTCATTTATTATACCTGTGATGTCTTCATTAGTTCGTCGTCTGTTTTCTTTAACTACACGTGAAAGTTTGTTTTTATCTCCGTCTGTAAACACTTTCTTCCTCCCTCTTCCTCGTCGATTTTCTACCTGTCCCGTTTCATCAAACTTTATAACAATACTACGTATTGTTTACTTAGGGTTTTCTTATATTCTCGCCAATTCTGATGCATTTCTGTTGTATTATACGTTTCTTCAACCATTCTTCTGACGGACGCATCTAATTCTTTCCCCATCAAAACCATGTTATTTTTACATAAATTTTTCGATAAATAATAATGTAGTCGATAAAACTATTGTGTATACGTCATCAATTTTAGTATTAAAACACAAAGATAGAAAAAAAATTAAACAATTAAACATGTGAGAAACCGTGATGCTATTTGTGCGGAAGTGGGGAATAATTATGTCCCTGGACTGTACACAGATATGCAATTGCATAAAAATAAAGTGGACCAGGACCTAAGCGTACCCTTGCTTTATCCCTACCTCAATTTTTATATTCCATGCTGGCAGACTTCAACTTGTTCACATTTTCTAAAATTTTATTTAATATTAATAAAATCTTCTACAGGTCAGCAAATTCCTATTCATCACCGGCATTGTAGTGTTATTTCTTGTCCTGGGACTATTCCTCATCTGGTTTATTGTTAGAAGAAGAAAGAAGGGACAGAAGAAGACTAAATAGACATTGACATTTGTTTTTCTTTTTAAAGCTTATTTCATAAAGGTTTTGTCACTGTAAACCCCTAGCATAGGCATCGGTGACAGCAGTGGTTTCCCTATTATTTTTTTAAAATCAGGTTCATTCTTTAGGACAGACTGACAGAATGACAGAGAATTACACAGCATGACAGACTGACAGAGAATTACACACTGACTGATTGACAGAAAATGACAGAAAATGACAGACTAACAAAATGACAGGAAATGACAGAATGACAGAAAATGACAGAATGACAGACTGACAGAATGACACAGAATGACAGAGAATTACAGACTGACAAAATGACAGACTGACAGAATGAAAGAATGATATAGTATTACAGAAGGACAGACTTATAAGAATGAAAGAATGCACACTTCAATAATTGATTTAGAAATAATATATATAAAATTTGAATAAATCATCAATTTAGGATAATCCATACCATGATTGAACCTGCATGTACAACTGAAGCCACATCATGATTGAACTAGCATGTTTAGAAGAAACCACATCATAACTTTACTTGCATGGATGATATCACCCAAATTTTGTTTGAACGTGCTTTGATGTGAGCTTTTTTTTAATATTCCGTTGCCGTTTCCATATATCTTTTTTTTTTTTAATAATTGTATTTTCCAAATTTAATCATTAATATTCTAATCTATCTATTTTCTAAATTTTACTGGGTTTTTTGATAAATAAATTTTCATAAATTATCTTGCCTTGTCATTGGTCGCTTGCAAAAGTATCTTGTCAAGAATTATGCTGATTGTACACAAAAGTTTATTTCAAAAAGTATATTGAGTTTCTGAATAACAATTTGTATGTGAATTTGAAGACCAGGTCTTCCTATATTCGGTTAAAATTGCAAAGGTACAAATAAGGCCGTGTTATTTAAAAACTTTCAGTGCAACTATATGAAGGAGATTTTTTTTAAGAAATCATCTAATATATCAAATTCATAATTGTAATTTTCTAAGTATGCCCTTCGTATACTGGATTATGACAGTGCCTATGGTTTCCTGGACTTCTTTCTTCTTTCTGAAAAAAAAAAATATTTTTTCAAGTTTGGAAAATGAAGCAATTCAAATGTTTAAGATCTGACGAATATTGTTGGTGTGACAAAAAATGAAATCTCTGTTTATCTCCAAAACTCCTTTTCTCTTCATTACGTGTTGGTTCGGGTGATGTCGTAAAGAAAAATAAAGTTACATTAATGATTTCTGATTCAGGTTCCTTCCTCTGTAAAATATTTTTAATTTTCTGCAAAATTGAGTTTTTTAAACTAATCCAGAAATTCAACTGCTTCCGCAAAGGAATCTGAAGAACAAAACAACTACTATTGAACAAAATGGCATGTAAAACTTTGCATCTGTTCTTGCAATTCAGAACTTTCCTGTTTTGGTCAAGTGCGTCTTGGTCCAAATTTTTCTTGAGAAGCAATGAACCCAGGTCTTATTATGTGTTAGAGTATCAGACAAATATGAATAACTATCGCTGCAGATTGTAGCTCTCTGAAAATATATATACACTGAGTATTTATTGCACACAAAAAGTTGTGCTTAGTTCTGAACTAATTCTTTCAATTCTTTCCTTAAAACCAAAAAAAAAAAGATATTTTTTTTTATATTCCTTACTCCGAGATGAAGTACTCTCGTATTTCATATCTGCAATGTTGGACTGAATTATCTTGCAAACCAAAACGGCAGTATATATAGACAAAATTTTTTATCACGATTTCAGGTCAGGACGGCTTTTAACAACAATTATAAAGAATGTTTTGTTGTGGAAACAGTATAAGAAAATGTTAGGAATTCCTGGTCAGTAATATTTTGAGATGAAGTTTAAAAATGTGGAGAAATAAATCGAGAAAACAGCGCACTTTTTTGTGCGCAATAATCATACAGTTTTTACAATGTGTGGCACTGAAGCTTTCCGGTCTGTCAATATATTTTTTTCGGAGAGCTACAGATCTGCAGCTAGGATAACTACGCCTAAAAATTCTTAAAAGTAATTGTTTTGATATTCTTACACGCTATCATTTCATTCTTTGGTCAAAACAGGATAACCATTGTGTACCTAGCTTTTTCAGAGCCTTTCTCTAAAATAATGTGAACTACCCACAAAAATATGCCTATTAAATTTGCTATGCGATTTAATCTCAATCAAACATCATCAGTGAATATTTGTTGAATTTTGCAAAACGTTACACACATTGTTGCAAGTCCTAGTCGCCAAGTACAGTACCAATATTTGATGCCCATTATTTTCTTTTTGGTCGTTGAAATTCCCCCTGCTCATGTGTCTATAAAACAAATACGTGTTGCTGTAAATATTACTTATTTCCGTGAATATTTCCTTGGGATTCTTTCCAGCTTTTACAGTATCTTTTACGAAGCTTTGAATTTCAGTCATGTTTACGTCCTCAGTAGTCAAAAAATTGAGACGAAAGAGAACTCTTCTTTCCATAAAATGTTTTGTAGGCCTTGATACCCTGACCTGAACCTCTCTTGCTAAAATGACCCAAAACTGCTCAGAAGGAGTGACCAATTGACGCCAAATTGAAAGGTCTGTATCTCTCTTAGTTTTCAAGCAATTTTCAAAGTCTTGGTGTCATTAAAAAGCTATTGGAAAGTTCTGTCCACTATCCGAAGATGGTTGTTAAAGGTAAAAAACGGCAAAAATTGCGTTGGCTGAAAGATGTCTGTGTAAGCTGCGTGGGCACACCTAGGCAATATTTGCTCTAGAAAGCCTAAAAAATTGATTAATCGTTCTGACTATTAGTGCATTACATAGACTTTGTCCAGAACTTTCTGACAAGCTCGAGAACTTGAAAGTCCATAACGCAATAAAGATTGTCTGCCGTTTGCAAGGCTTTTAAGAAAATCGCTTGTTATTCAACTTTGTGCTCTCTGAAATGACAATATCATGATATCAGCATAAAGAGAATTTCAAGACGACACCAGGAAGGTTGACATCGGAGCAGTCAGTCAAAAAGTATGAGCAAAAAACGAAAAATAAGTGTTTGCAGGGGTTAAAGACAGGGATTGGTGTTAGGGTTCAAGTTAAAGACTACACCTTGTTTTTCTACAATTATACATCGACCATTGCTTCCAACTTTTCAATTACAAAAACACTTTACATGGCCTGGATACCGAGTATCTGAAACATAATCCTCCATCGTGTTCATGTTCTTTTTTGCCCTATTACTATAATCCTGCTGGACACGTTATTACAGGTGACGTAAATATAGTTAATAATGAGGACCTTAAATCACTTATTTTAAATGGTTCTAAATATAGAGAACCCTGATCCTTCAACAGGCGTCGGAATTTCAAAAAAATTATGGATTCTGTTGAAAATTACGCATAGATAAATGACATGATCAGTACGTACTGGTCCCAGCCTACAAAGTAGGTAGCAACATTGTCTTCGTTTGTAAGGCTCATTATATAAATTGTATTTTAGAAGAACTTGGATTTAATTCTACAAATGGTAATCCTATTTACACTCATACTACCCTTTCTAATTATAAAGAAGAAGGATATGGAGATAACGAACAGCTTTCAGTCTCAAAGTCCATAAAACAATACAAAATAAGAGCGGAGCAAACACGGACCTTCGAAACATCAGAGGTGGGATCAGGTGCCACGGAGGAGTGAACATCCCCTGCCGACCGGTCACACCAGCCATGTGCTCCTTGTCATGATAAGGAAATAACGGAAAAAATCCGTCGTCAATTCAGTGTATAAATAATGGACTAACAATTGGAATGAAAAACGTCAGTCAGCATTTGACTTAATGATAAATTGTATTTGCTGACAAGGTCATTGTATCGACCATTGAACACGAAATGAGTACTTTAAACGAGACTGCTGATATTCTTCACTACTGTCAGTATCTTAGTGAGGAGTAACGAAAGAGGCTTGGTTGAACATTTACTGGAGTCTGCAATGTATCTTTGTTTGTAAGGATTCTTATGAAGTTTTGGAATCTTATATATATAAGGTAGCTCAGATTCATTTTTGCTCTGTGGAATATTAAAAGTATTCAAAACTGACAGGTGATTTTGAAGAATTTCTTCCTTAGAAAGGAAAGTATGAGTATAAGTAGGATTACCTCTTGTAGAATTAAATCCAAGTTCTTCTAGAATGAAATTTATACAATGAGCCTTACAAAAGAAGACAATGTTGTTACCTGCTTTGTCGGTATATACTGATCGTGTAATCTATCTAATTTTTTTCACTTCTGGTTTATTGAACACAGAAGGATAGATGGTTTTCATATTGCCCCTCAATCTTTTAAAACGTGACTTTTAAATGGATCTGATACATTTAATCCATTCTGACAAGGTGTCAACGTCTTCTTTTTCATATCTTGGCCCATCGTCTAGCGTAATTTTCAACAGAATCCATAATATTTTTGAAATTCCGACGCCTGTTGAAGGATCAGGGTTCTCTATATTTAGAACCATGTAAAATAAGTGATTTAAGGTCCTCATTCTAACTATATTTACGTCACCTGTAATGACGTGTCCAGCAGGACTATAGTAATAGGGCAAAGAAGAACATGAACACGATGGAGGATTATGTTTCAGATACTCGGTATCCAGGCCATGTAAAGTTTTTCATGTAATTGAAAAGTTTGGAAGCAATGGTCGATGAATATTTGTAGGAAATACAAGGTGTATGCTTTAGTTAACTAGAAATATGGTGGAATACAAGACTAGACCCTTTTGTGATTAAGAATATTACTTACATTAACTGCGTCAATTCCCTTATTGGCATATTGAAGTTTAAGGAAAAGACGGATTGTTTTAGCTGCGTGTATGATGTATTGGTTTTATACCAAAACCAAAAAACAATAACCTTGTCAGCCACCACATTCTATCATTAATTCAAATGCTGACTGACGTTTTTCATTCCAATTGTTAGTCTACTATTTATATACTGAATTGACGACAGATTATTTCTGTCATTTCCTGATCATGACAAGGAGCACATGGCGGGTGTGACCGGTTGGCAGGGGATACTAACACCTCCATGGCACTTGATCCCACCTCTGATGTATCATGGGTCCTTGTTTGCTCTGCACTAATTTTGTATTGTTTTATGGACTTTGAGACTGAATACTGTTCGTTATCTCCATATCCTTCTTCAAAATCATATGTCAGTTTTAACTACTTTTAATATTC